GCCAGGAGACAGTGAGTTCTAGTCTCGCCAGGAGACAGTGAGTTCTAGTCTCGCCAGGAGACAGTGAGTTCTAGTCTCGCCCTAGACAGAAAAACCAGCTGATGTCTTTGGGCAAATCACAAGGAGACAGTGAGTTCTAGTCTCACCTTAGACACAAAAGCCAGATGATGTCTTTGGGCAAATCACAAGGAGACAGTGAGTTCTAGTCTCACCAGGAGACAATGAGTTCTAGTCTCGCCTTAGGCACAAAAACCAGCTGATGTCTTTGGGCCAACTACCAGGAGACAATGAGTTCTAGTCCCGCCATAGGCAGGAAAGACGGCTGGGTGACTTTGGGACAACCACCAGGAGACAGTAAGCTCTAGTCCCACCTTAGCCATGAAAGATGACTAGGTGACTTACGTCTAGTCACTTTCTCTCAGCTCAGTTCACCTCACAGGGTTATTGTTGTTCCGGGGAAAATTTACTCCCCTTGGGTGAGTGTTGTGAGGTTGCAACCACCAGAAAACAGCGTTCCACATTCCCTCCTTGTTCTACTACCAATAGTTCATATTTGGTGGGTGAGTCCACTTCACCTTAAAACATGGAGGCATCCATTGGATTTTATTTTCTAAGAATGCTGTTGGGTCCCCAGAGCAGAGGTGGGTTGCTACCTGTTCGGGCCGGTTCGGGCCTGGGTTGCACAAGTGGCAGCGGCCCAGGCCTGCCACGCCCCTGAACCTGTTCCCTCGCTGCCGCTTGGGCATCGCCATTTTGGATTTTAGTGACTGCGTGTGCGCAGTTCACTGTAAATTGTTCTATAAATTGCGAACCGGCAGTAACCATGGCAGCAACCCACCCCCTGCCCCAGGGAGAATATTGTAAACCATGATAATGTTAGGCATTTGCAGCAGGCTTCCTGTTCCTTTTTTTTTAAATGTATTGTTTAGGTGAGGTAAGGAGCTCGGCAGACATATTTATTGGTGACACTTGGTGGGTCTTAGAACCACCATATATGGGCAGGGCTCCCAGTCCATGTTTGTTACTATGCAAAACATCTGAATGGCCACACTCTTTGATGGATCATTAGCTTAATGAGGGAAGACAGTAGACACAATATACTTTCATTTGGATCAGGTTTTTAATCAAATTTCTCTGATTTTCTTTTTAAAATTTGCTGCCAAACTAGTTGAATGTTTGCTAGTCAATATTATGGCGAAATCCCAAGGATCATTCATCAATCAGTACCGATGTGATCAAATTCTGTCGTGGATTATTCCTTGGTCCAGGGTTGTAGGAGAGGAAAGGAGACCGAGAGGAGAAGGAGACAAGACCGAGAGGACACCTCCCGCAACCGCCGCAGAAGGATACCATGGTTGATGGTATCGAAGGCCGCTGAGAGGTCAAGGAGCACTAGGATAGA